GCCTCTTTCTCATTACAAGAAACTCTGGGGCTTCAGGAAGTTGGTTTATCCTCTCAGGGGTTACAAAAACAAAAATCAGTTTTAAAAAAGAGCTTTACCAACATGGATTTGATACATATATACTAAGGAAAGAGAACATAGAAACTCAGTTTGGACATTTGGTGAAGAAGGATATAAGTACTAATTCCCAAGTTACAAATAAAAATATCATTAAGAAGAAATTTAGCTTCAGAAGATAAGGGATCATAGTAATCAATCCTAACACTTCAAGCCATTAAATAACCTCTTGTCAGAGTTTAAAAGAAATTTCTTCTTGCAAAGATCGCTATAATCAGATGAACAGGAGGTTTCCTGCTGACGCTGGGGCCCCATGAAATGACAGATTAGCTGTAAGTGCTACAACTGGGCCACACTATCTCTATGTACATCACTCAGCTAACACTGACAGCCGAAACTCAACAAGGGTCAAACTGCGGAACTAAGGGTTAGGGAGTCAAGATACACCCAGGTTTATTAAAAATACAGAGTGGTGGGGAGTCATTACATAAAGCCATTCTTTACAGTTTCAATGTGAGATATGCAGGGCCTATTTGTAGACCTACGAGCCAGTCAAAACTAGCCGGCCAATTTGTTCACTTTTTCACATAGCAACACATTTGAGCACCTCTCAGGGGTTAGGCAGTTTGTGAGTCTTCTGGACTGACAGCAACTGGCTGCCCTCTCTGAACCGTGCTGCCCTCACACTCTTTGGATTCTTCTAACCATTCGGTGGTTAAGCGTCACCAATGGCATCAGTTGGGTGCACAGAAATGCCATTTAAAGTGAAAACACAAGCTCACTCAAGCCATGGAGCAAGGTCCTTAGAGAATCTATCGGACAAAACTAATGATTTCTTCACGTGCTTGCCAAGGTACCCAGCTGTTTCCACTACACGCACATGGGAAAACAGTGAACTGAGGATTAACGGTAGCACAGAAACATGCAACTCTACACTTTTCTCAAGGATTCGCAATAGAATAACAAAAGGCTGACAAGGAAGAGACAGACAAGGTTCTTCTTTCATATCCAGAAAGATTACAGGAGACTTTTTTCTCATTTGTCTGGGTCAGAAGTACTTCCATGCTTTCCTTTAAAAGGTTATTCCTCTGCAGCAGCTCTCACTGCCAGAACATTTTTCTTCTTTTTCACCTAAACCTTACGACCTAGTACACCTTTAAAAGTCAAAGAGAAAGGCTGTAGGGAAAGCTCTGTTTGAGAACAGAGTGTACCACACATGACCCGTGTCTTCTATGAGTCTTCGTTCTGGGTACAGCAGCATTTCTGGTCTTAATCTTTGGACTTAAACACGAGCTTCCTATCTGTGGCATCTTTCCTCTCCCTCAAGATATGCAGAGCTTCAGACATTATTAAAGAAAACTCAGGGCCTGGAATATGTAATCCTCTGCTATCTGGCACTCTATATTTGGTAGGGTTTATATACTGTTAAATCTGAGACACATATTTACTTGAGGAGAATGACAGATGCTGGGAAATGATCCTGTTTAAAAACACATCAGAAACCAACTTCCATACCCCATAGTTTAGATGCCATGAACAGAGCTTATCAAGCAGCAGAGAGGGGTATGTAGGAATTGGGAGAGTCTTTAATCTCCTGCACTTTATGAAAGGCCATACCTCAACTCTGAACAATATGCAGAACATGAACAACCCTGAAGGCAAGGGAGCCACTGAAGACATGGGTGTCCTACAGATATGCCGTCAGAACTGAAAGCCAGTCCTACATGGGAACTGTGTAGGAGTATTCTGGAAGATGAGGTGGGTGGGTTTTCTTCCCAGAGCTATAAATAAGATTGGAATGAGAAGAATTTGATAAAAGATATAAACACAGAAATGATGAGGCAGAATACAGCCATGACTACATCACTCCTCTCCCCCAGTTCGAGGGCCTCCCTACTTCCTCAGTTGTACAACAAACTTACATATAAGTGCACTTTAGAGAAACCCCTCAGGCCAGCAAGATGGGAATGGAAGCAGACCCTTCAAACCAGATGTTACTTTTTCAGGCCTCCAAAACTCCAACAATCAACAACTACTTGCTGGTCACTTACAAGCTGCTTCCAACACTGCTCGATTTTCTTTGGAACCTGTGGCATGGAGGGTGAGAGGTGGGGCTGGTGGAGGATGGCAGGTGGGCTGAGGGTGCTGGAGACTACAACAGGATAAGAGTAGACAGTGCAGGGCTGTGATGAGGAGGAATTTACTCACAGGGTGCAGGGTTGGCAAAAAAAAAAAAGAACCTCAGGACCCTATCTCCGTGTATCAGCTGGTATGTAGGTGAACAGGGAATTTCACATCTGAAACTACTGGCAGGCATCAACATTCTCTCTCAGAATCTAAGAGACTGCTACCTACGTCCTTCACACTAGAAAAGCTGACGACCAAGACTGTCCATAGCTGAAGGTGGCTCTTGGTAGGAGGAAGATGCAGTTTTCTCACAGAAGCAGATAATTTCTATTCCTACAGGAAGGGCAATTATTCTCACTTCACAGTGCAGAGTATACAATTAGGTACTCAGAACATTTCAGAACCTAGGCTCCTGACAGAACAGAAGTGTTGTTCCAAATTCAATGTCCAGAATTCCAACAAGTTTACAAGAGAGTTGTATCTGTCCCTTTCTGTCATTCACATACACACACATACATCACACTTTACAACTGGCTGTCTCGATTCATTCATTCAGTGCCTGGCACTGGGTAAGATACTTTCTCAAGGAGTTCACAGTATGGCTGGAGGGAAATGTATAAGCAGATAACTCCAATAATGGAAGCATCATCTGTCTTTTAACAACACAGAACATGACAAGAAATGCTGAGCAGGGAGGCTGTACTCGATCAATCGTATTAAGCAGTGAGCTCTAGTAACCACTGGTACCAAGTACGAGACAGGCACAGGAATGCAGAGCCCTCACCCTCTCTGCAAGGCTTTTAGACCCTGAACATCTCACGGATCTTGAGAAATAGTGTTATGCTCTCAGAACTAGTACTGTAATTAGTCAGCACCCCCACAGGATGCTGAATTGTTCTTTATTTTGTATATGGGTAAATTTTAGCTACTCAAACTGTTAAATGTCTGAGGGCAGGTACCTTGCCTGATATTTCTTTAATCTCTCCAGGACTAACTACCCTGGACACAGTGTAGACATTAAACACATGATGTACTTGGTGAAAGGGACAAGGAGATAAGACTCTGGGTGACTTGTTCCTCCACAAGGGTTTATAGAGAGGCAGATCTGGAGTGATCTGTAAAGCACAATAGTGCCCTTCCTGATCATATCACTGATCCACCACACAAGCAGCCTGCTCTATTTGACTCTTTAGGGTTGTGGGTGGGAAGTCCTTCACTGGAAAGCCAGAGAAGATAGCAGCATAATGTGGGTAAATGGTTTGGAAGTTAACGGCAGTAAATAAAAAGCTGAATTTGAGACTTAAGTTCCTGGCTGATGCTTAGGATAGAAACAGACCTCAGATTCCTTCCACCTGCTATACGGTTCTAGTTCTTAGAAATGGACCTGCCATCACCAAGACATGAATCAAATCCCATCCTCACTTGCTTATTAAAAGGCTTCAATGGCTTCCCATTGTACCTAAAATAAAATCCACCCCTTCCGAGTAGTTGATAGGCCCTCATTCTAGCCCCGCCCACCCTGCCAATCTTAACTTGTCCCCAGGCTCCCCTCACTCACCAGGCCCCAGGCACACCTGCTTCCTTGACGTTTTCAAACACGTCGGGCTCTTACCTGCACTAGGCCCTTACACTTGTTCTCGCTTCTCCCAGGCCCTTTGCCTGTTTCTGCATGGCTGACTCCATCTCATCCTTCAAACCTCAGCTCAAATATTTCCTCCTCAGGGAGGCCTTTCCTGATCATCTTATCCAAAGTGACCCCATCTCATTCCTATTACTTGTTAACACACCAACTGATTAATTTACTTTGTAACACTTACTATGCTCCGAAATTACCTTATTTGTCTCCTTGTTTACTATCACTATTCTCCTTTTAAACATAAAACTCCTGAGAGCAGGAGCTGGATTTTTCTTGCCGCATCAAGGGCACACACCAGTTCTCAAACTGAATGAAGAAGTGAATTAGGATTAGGAAAATGCCGTGGCAGTAGGTCAGCACTGAGTTAAGGTGAAAAACATTAATTCTCTCACTATGAAGCTAGAAGTTGTTGTAGGACTTTTTTTTTTTTTTAAACTTCATAGGGTGTGTCCAAGTAGCAATAACACACAAGAGAAAAGAAAGAAGAGGGAGTGCCTAAGCTCTCCACTGATGACTTAAAAAGAATGTCAAAAAGAGCAAAATCTTGCTGGCTCCAGTTTCCACTCAGTTTATAATGCTGTTGGTATTGAAAGCAAATTTTCTTACTTCTAACAGATTCCAATGTTGGTTTCATTTCTCCCCAAGTAATATAGTTGTGCACCTTCTAAGCCCAGCTCTGCAATAACCCCATCAAGCACACTCACACCCATGCCAGCCACAGAGTATCTGAGAATCTCACTCTAAATAAAACTGTAGTTGATTCAAAATACCAGGTGAAAAGGGTTTTCTCTTCCCAAGAACCTGAACACGAAGGCAAAACACATGCAAGAAGTAGGTTCTTCCTCACAATACCCCAGCTCAAGATTTGCTCTTCCTATAAAGGGAAGTGAGTGTAACAGGGAGCAGAAACCCCTGAAAGGTACAATTCAAAAGCGAAGGGTGGTTCGATGGCACCATTCAATCCAATGCTGTTTGTTTCACTGAACTTAATAAGGGCAGTATCTTAGCTATTAGTGATTGAAAAGTCCTTGAACTTGGAGCAGCACAAGAAAAGAGTGACACATGAAACCTGTTGCCCTTGTTTGCTGTTAGATGCTTCCCATGGCACACCAGGCACACACACCATGTCGAAAACGCAGCTCTATTAAATGCTGACAGAGAGAGAGACAGAGACACTTACGCGGCATGATCCCTTGGCTCACCAGCTCTTCTCGCGTCCGGCGCTGCTGGAGCTTCAACTGCAGCACTGCAGGGCGGCAAAGAGAGAGGAGAGACCGAGGCTCAGTTGGGCATTCCACCACAAAAGACACATTTTCAAATACAAAGAAAGTCTCAGAACAGAAGCGTGTAGTGTGAAAGAAGGATCCCTTTAATTGTGACTGTCTGTTAATTGCAGAAGTGGCCTGATACAGCAGGGTTTCCGTATTCTGCTGTGGGTGGCGAGAGGAAGTTGCGAAGGGTCTTGCAGGGCGATAACAATCCACAAAGTACCAAAGTCTTGCCTCTTGCTCAAAACCTCCTACAACACTGTATCCTCCTCCTAAGACTAAAAAAACACAAGTTCTTAACTCAAAGGAAATATAATGAGGACCAACACCCAGCAGGAAAAGCTTTCTAGATGTTCTACACTGTTTTCCTGGCAGCATGTGTTTACCATCGTGAGTGCAGTGAATGATACCGTGCTCACATAGATCAGGAAGTATTGGTTATTTGTAAAATCTTGTCTTTTGTATCTAAAAATTACACCTATATTCACCAAACAATGCATTTCTCTAGACCAGAAAACATTTTACCATCAATATAACTCTTTTCTTCCTCTTACTGTTCACTTAGAGCTTTTTTCTGTTGAGGGGAAACAACCAAACAACACAAGTCAAAGCGCACCCAGGATAGGGGAGGGTGACTCTGGCAACACCACCTAATGAAACACTCAATTAGGAATTTTTCTAAAGTTAAAAGTCAATGATCTCTATTTCAAATGCCAATGAAATGTAAAGGGCATTACCACTGCATACCATGCAGAACGACCATGGCACGGCCGGCATTCAGAGGGTAAGTGAGAAAACATTCAGAGAAGGAGGGTTAGGAGTCAAGGAAAGTCCCCTTATGTGATAAGTCTTCAATTATAAGGTCTCTGCAAGTCACATTTGAGGGAGACCTGCATCTATTAGGAATCATATTATCTTAGGTTACCTGCCTTTTCCACTCAGAGAGCAGTTTTTAAGAAGGCCTCCAAGAATGGCAGAACCATAACTAGGCTCCTGACTACATCTCAAATTCAGCAAGTCCAAAGTAGAACCTTTCTCCCAAAAACCTAACCCACTTTCCATCCTTCTTGTCTCTTTAGAAAATGGAATCATGATCTGCAATCCCTGCACTCCCCCACCCCCAAACAAGTATTAAAGTTTTTGAGCCAACTTCAAATCTTCCACCTCCCTCACACTCCTCCTCTTAACAAGTATCTGGCACCACAGTTTTGCCATGTTGCTCAGACAGCTCCCTGGCTCGCGACCTTACTTGTGGAGTACTTCTCCCACTGTAAATGCCCCAAGCAAGGCTGTCCAACTGCTCTTCCTCAAGTACCATGTACTGGCCCAACAGTTTATTCACTTCACTTGGAAATGCCTATCCTGACATTCCTGACCCCAAGCAGGCAGAATTACTCTAGACCTCCTGTGAGCTACCTTTTATCTGTTATAAAAAGTATCGTAGTATTTTGCCCTATGCAACAGTTACCCCCTGAACATAGCTCCTCTCTCCTACCAGTTTATAAACTCCTGGAGGGCAGAGGAATATATCTTATTAATACATGCCCTACATACCACTCAATACACAGTAAGCATTTAATAACTGTTTCTTGAATTGAACTGTATCTCAAAATGATAATACAGCCTGAGAGATCTTATCAGGAAGTTGTAACTATTACTATTAATTTTTTTTTTTTTTTTTTTTTTTAATTTAAAACTTAAAAGCAAAAACTTGCAGAATAAATGGATAAAACAAGAGCCACACTAGTGGCTAACGTTTATAGAGGATGTGTTCGGTGACAGACACTGTTCTATGTACTCTCATGTTTTAACTAATTTACTCAGATATATCTAATAACACCCCTATGGAAAGACATGGGCATTACTAATCCCATTTTACAGGTAGAAAATAAGGCCCAGAGTGATTCAGTAATTTACCTAAGATTATCCCACTAATAAGAGTCTGATTCCAGAATGTGGGTTCCTTACTTCTCTACTTCTTCAGCGTCTTCCGGAGCCTATGCTGCTGAGACAACAGGCATGGAATGTGACCACCTCAGCTGGTTCTCTGGTGAGACAGGCAAAGGGACTGAAGAAAAGGGATGTGGCTCAGGCCAGGGTCAAAGGAGTTTGAGTGATACTTCAGTAAAAATAAACTTAAACTAATCTAGGAATTTGATTTCAGATAAATTAGAACCACAGATTAGCAGCAACACTAATAATTACAATAAAATGCAAATACTTAACTAGGAGTCACTGAGTGTCACTGTGTCAGGCCCAGTGTTAAGTGATTGACCTACTTTTAACTTAAAAAAGGGGGGCTCTATGAGAACGGTACAATTATTATCTCCATTTTACACATAAGGAAGCTAAGGATCAGATCTTTAAAACTTTGCCTTAGGTCACACAGCTCAAAAGTGCTGGCATGAGAATTCATACCCAGGTCTTTGTGATTCTACAGTGTGGGGCACTTAATACTATGCCATACGTCTCCTTGGAGGAAAGAAAGAAAGAAAGAGGGGAAAAAAGGGAAAATATCTGTCATCTTTTATATATATTGTTTTTTTTTAAGATTTTTATTTATTTGACAGAAAGAGAGCACAAGTGGGGGGAGCCACAGGCAGAGGGCGAGGGAGAAGCAGGCTCCCCGCCAAGCAGAGAGCCCGAACTGTGGGGCTCAATCCCATGACCTGAGCCCAAGGAAGATGCTTAACCGACTGAGCCACCCAGGCGCCCTTATATATAGTGTTTCTAAAGCCCAGTGTAATATGAGCTATTAGAAAATGATTAAATATAAGAAATTGGAAAAAAATAAATATAATTGATTTGATTTCTGAGAACAGAGAAATCTAAATACAATTCAGTAAGTCTGAACACTTCAAAGAAACAATAACTAATGAAAACTCTGGCCATTATCCGAAAATAATTTTGAAATACCAATCAGCAGCCCTCCTAAATAACCCATCTAGAGACAGGGCCATAAGGGATATTATGCAAACTTCTTGACTGAAAAACTTATTGCCCCATGAGAATAAACATTTAAGTCTATGATTCAAGTTTTTTTTTTTTTATGGAGAACACAGTAAAGGCTGATTTAGCTTTTGTTTTTCAACAGGTCTAGCTCAAAGAGGAAAGTTTATCTAATGAATATTTCCATCTGTAAAACTAAATGATATTAAAGTTCAGTTACATGAAAATTCCATCCTGTCCCCTCTCAGCAGTGAACTCCAAACTCCGTGCTTATCTGAAATCTGACTAAGTTCCCCATTCACATAATAGAATTCACCCTTTATCAGTAGTATCTTGGGTATTGCCACAACCTGACTGTAGGCATGTACTTTCATACACTGTAAAACCCTCTCCTGCTAACTCGAACAATGTTTATTAGGAGGAAAAGAAAAAAGACCTAGGCAGTAAACTCCGAACTACAGTTGTCAACCTCTGTATCATTTTACTTTAGAACTGATCTGCTTGGCTGTGTACAGATGAAAGGATCCCTCTTCTAAAACTTTCAACTACAAAGAAATAGATATTTATATGAATTTCCCCTTTCCTTAGTGTATCTTAATTCCTCTTAATTCTAAGCATTCTAAATAAAATGCCTTTATGTTTCCAAACTTCAGGGATTATTCATTTTATTTTTTAAAATTCAATTAGCCAACATGTAGTACATCAGTTTCAGATGTAGTGTTCAGTAATTTATCAGTTGAGGGATTATTCATTTTAGAAGAAACCATTTCATAACTTTCAGTACACAGCTTAAGAGCTGTATGTGCTGTGTTCACTAAAGAAGGTACCCAAATCAGGAGTACATTTCAAGGCCATACATTTAATGCACATCCACCCTCACCAAGAAGTGCCTGACACTAGTTCAAATGGTTATACTCCTAGATAGTGCTAGACCAAGGAGATTCAAAAGAGTAGGAATTCGACAAAATCTCTCTATTCATTATACATCACCATTTAGATTTCCTCTCCACTCCCCAAGTGGAAAACAAACAAACAAAAATACCTATTTGTGTACATGCACAAGTCTTCATACTTTGTTATTGAATTCCACAAATTTAATATATCATCTGTTTCTAAATGGGTCTGTGCAAGCAGCCTATATATAGATGAACAGATGTCTTTAAAGCTGATGAATGGTGAATCAACTGAGTTGCCTGCCAGAAAAAGGATTGGAATAAAAAGAAACCAAACCATAAAGTGGGGAACCCTAGGTTCTCCACTCCCTCACAGAATTAATCAAGTTTTCTACCTGTTTCAAACAAAGGTGATCAATCAATTGCTGTTGGAATAACTGGCTTCTTGGGAAATCAAAGTAAAGGAGTAAACTTCATATATTTCTGTCCTATAAAGACCATGGAAGTATGCTGATGGCATTCAAGAGGTAATGCCGAAGAAATGGACACATCAAACAGATCAATCAGGATCGGAAGGAAAAGCCAAATTTTTGGCTTTGTGGCGTGTCCTCAAACCCAGCTCTGTGGCTTCCACTGGTGGGTAGTCCTGGATTTCACTGGGGAGGGAGATGTGCAGCTTGGCATGCTATTCTCACCTTATTCATATTTATCCATTACTGATTCTACAAAGGCTTCTAGAATAGAGAGATGAAGTATTTATGAGGGAAGTAGAAAAGAACAGGAAGGAGATTAGTATGGGAATGATAGCAAAAGAACAAAAACCCTCCCTTGGCATCATCCTTTGCTCAATAAGACCTCTTCAAGGAAGATTCTAATGGCAAGGGCATTTCCAAAGTCTGGTCTCCTAGTAACTCATCCATTATTTTCTCCTCAATAACCTTTAGGTACCAGTTCTAGAATAAATAAGCAAACACAATTTAATTCAGCAATAGACACCACTACCTCTACCTTCAAACTAGGAGAATCTGTTTCACTGGGAAGATAGAGAAGGAACAGGGTGGGTTTTAGCCTTAGGTGAAGCTTAGCATGCTAATAATTCAAATACTCATCTCTGCAGCAGTGAATTTTATTGGCGT